TCTCTGCGCTCAGCGGCGCCGAGGTCACGAGAGGAGCTGCCCATCATGAACGTTAGTCCGCACCATGAACTTTCATTAGACGAGACGATGAATCGAAATGAAGAAATACGCTCTTCTGCGAATACTGCGGACGACCGACCTCGTGGCGCAGTACACTCGGCAGGCACCGAAGGGCACACGGATTCGGCGTCCGCAAACCTTGTCGATGATTCAGAGTCATCATACGATCCTTCTTTACGCAGCTCCCTATCTCCCAGTCCGGGTCGGCCCAGCAAGCAGCCCTCACCCTCTGATACGCGCTTGGCTCAGCCAAGCACAATTGCCTCACAGTCAAGACTGGGCTTGACCGCATCTGCGGACGCTCACCATACCGCTGCGCCAATCACCTCAGCGCTTGGCCTGGACACCGGAGACAACACCAGCTCGCGACGGAATCCAGCACCACCTGGTGTGTTGAGCACGCAAAGATCCACTTCCAGCATGGTCACCCCTCAACTCAACACCGCTTCGAGTCGCGTACAAGCTGATGCGCGACGCCCATCTAGATCGCGATTGCGTTGGCCACAGCAAGCCGCGATCATGACAGACTCTCCAGAGGCAACAAACGAGTATTTCAGCTCGTTGAAGACTGACGCCAAGACCGTGCAAGCTCAGTACGCAGCTCGACCGAAGGCTTCTGCTTTGTCGAGAAAGCTCAAAGCTCAATCCTCGGGCCCAGCCAATGCCTTTTCCCAAGCCTACGCTGGTGTTGGAGCTCGAAATGGAGCCTCAGCAGGTACGGTCAACATAAAAGTCTACTTTCCTTGGGCAGAAGATGAACAAACGCCAAGCGTCAGACCCCTCAGCGATGCTGTTTCGGTTGAGCCGCGTAGTCGCAGCATGGTGCTCTGCCTTCGCCGCGATGCTGTCATGGAAGAGGTCGTGGGCTACGCAATGATGTGCTACGTCGATGAGGGCTGGGAACCTCGTCTGGACGATGGAGATCCGGACGAGGACGAAGAAGCTCTCGAGATGCGACTGAGTACGATCGGCTGGGCACTCCGCATGGTCGAAGATGGCGAGGTGGATGATGATTTCCCAGCCGTCGATCGAGGCTTAGTCGTTGGCAAATTTGGCGCCGACGAACTTGCAGTTTGCGAAGCCACGCCCGCGCAAGGTATGTGCTGAACGAACACGACTGTGCAGCTCCTGCACGCGACGCTCACCCCTCTTTTGTCACTTCAGTCAAGCAACATCTAGCTACTCA